AGAGAGAGAGAGAGAGAGAGAGAGAGAGATGAAGGCAGATAGACCGGGAGACAGGGCAGGAGAGAAGTTGTGTTCGTTTGTGTGTGTGTGAGTGTGTGTGTGCGTGTGTGTGTGTGTGATTGTGAGTGTGTGTGCGTGTGCGTGTGTGTGTGTGTGTGATTGTGATTTTTTTGGCGAGGGGAGGGGAGTTGCGACTTCTAGTGATAAGACTGTTCAAATCGCTGTCTGTTTAGCTGTACGTCTTCGAGCTCTCACATCCAATAATTCACGTATCCTCGAGATACCGGGTCATTCCTTCTTCGCCTCTTTGAAAGTCGTTTGCAGCCCTTGTTGTCAGCTAGTAAGGGCCCTAAAGTAGATACTGTGTCCTGCTTAAGTGGACAGAGTGTATCGTTATCTTGTCCTCCTCTCGTGCCCAAAGACTCCCGGCCCAGAGGGGGGCCTTTGGAAAAGCGGCCAGCGGAAAATATTGCCATAATCCTATTGACAGCGGTCGCCGGGCTCTTTTTATTGAATGTCCGAATCTTCATTGCGATCTTAACTGGAACATAGTTCGCGACATGAGGCTGCGACACGGAAAATATTCACTGTGTGCGTGCTGGACATACAAGTGGGGACAGTGACTATAAGGACTTTGGATATAGGCTTAGATCATTCTGGAGTAAAAGTAGGCCAGGTGTGTTGTAATGAACGTGAAATACGCACGTTAGAATTGTAAATCCACATTTTGCGGCCTTTTTGTTTTTAATTAAGAAATAGTCACTCTTTGAACTTAACTGTATCAGCTGCACTTTGCTTGTCAAGCCTCTTGTTTGCGCACATTCGTGGCGTATTTTAATCATGCCACAAGATGATAGTCTTTAGATTCGAACAAAGTAGCAGAAAAGGCAACGGACAAATGGCTAAAAGTGCTAAAGAAAACTCAACAACATCAACGACTTCATTCAACTGCGACTGAAACTAGTGCAATACTAACACTAACTCAATAGCAACCCCAGCAGTAGCATAGCAACGACGTTGGCTGCCCGACCTGTTGGAGCATGGACACAGCTACTGTAACACGCCTGCGCTTTTAGTTACTTGGTAAGGAAGAGTCCTGCAAGCGCTCATATGACCTATAGCAGTTGCGAGCGCCGTAAAACTCTTAACAAACTGCTAAACTAAGAGTTCTTCGTTCATTAACTCAGTCAAGATGGAGTGTAAAAAAAAATGCTGCTCAATGTGAGTTGAGATCGGCTTGTTTAGTTATTTTAAGTGTTGGAACCTGGTCGACCGTTTTACGTTTTACAGTGCTTTGTGTTCCCGTGTGTATTTACGGGTTGTCGACCCTTCCCACGATCATTTTTAAGGCAACACAGAAATAATGCTTTGCTAAATTTGTTTCGTAATCTGTATTATTTTACAAGCAAGCCGAGTTTAGGAAGCAGTACAGAAATGTACACCTGTAATTGCCTTTTTGTTGTATCACATTGCTGATCTCGGTGAGGATTTTATCAGCTCGGACGGGCAGCTTTGTAGCCGTATCTGAATCCAGGTGTTAAGGGCTACGTCTGTTCCAATTTTCTCCTCCCTATCTGGGATACATGCATGTTGATAACATGGAGCGGCTACAAGTTGAATAACAATGTTGTGGCAACCACATGCTCTGCGTGGTATTTCGTTGCGGAAGGGAATATCTGAATTTGAATGTAAGTTCAAGACATTTTACTCAAGTGGGTTGGGGAGGATCAGACAGTTTTCTTGACGAATCCTCCACTCCAACACGAAGAAAGACACACACACACACACACACACACACACACACACACACACACAC